GAGTGGCAGATATTATGGGAGTGGCTTGATGGAGCGCAGGAGATCCAGATAACATGATCTTGACCCTTAAGAAATTTTAATTAATTCTGTCACCTAACAGATCTGTTCAAATATAAAATTAAATGAATTGCTAATTGCTACGTTGAAATAAAAATGTAAAGCCTGTAGAAAAATTAGAAATCGTGAATATAAATAATTGGGAATCATGTAAAAAAAATGTAATAAAATAAAACCACATTTATCTATTATAACATTTATGTAGTTTTGTTCAGTTGGCTGTTTCCTTATAAAAGTCCAGAAATTTGTCAAGTTTTTCGTCAGGTGTCTTTTTCATTATATGATGTCATTACGTTGCGGTCTTGCCGCAGCCAATCGCTGCAGTGCATTGCTGATCGTGGTTTCGAGTATCGATACATAGCCCCTTTTAAACCAACCCATACACACGCAATTATCTCAGATAACTCAATCCAGCCATACTAATCATCAACAACAGCTGCGTTCGAAGAACCGAATTAGCCAGATCCTGATTAGCGCGATGATCTCCCCCTTGTCCAAATACCCACCCCTTGTCCAAATACCCCACCCCTTGTCCAAATACCCACACCTTGTCCAAATACCCCACCCCTTGTCCAAATACCCACCCCTTGTCCAAATACCCACACTTGCGGTCTTGGCCACTTGAGAGTGCGTGTGCGCGACAGGAAGTAAGTGTGCAAGACTGTCCCAGGTCTTAAAACCGCCAAAGCGCAGTGCCCTTAAAGCACACTAAATCCACACTATGTCAAATACCGCTTCAGAGCGCTATTCCAGCCTTAGTGTATCCCATCATGCATCATGTTCTGGAAATAAATCGCGAGACTTTTTGCCGAGATCTCGCAAGAGGTCATGGAAACCTTTCCAATGTAAGTTAAATATTAATATAATAATTAGATATTACATATAATTTGGTTATAAAATTACATTTTATTGGTGCAAAGATGAGTAGTGGTGTTATTTATTTTGTACAACATTTGCAACTGCTTTTTAGCTCAAAGCGACCAATGAGGCGTCTAGGTATTTATTATGTCTATGGTTGGAACCCACTCTGACGTCACCGCATCGACCTGCGCATGCGCTTGGACTATAAAAGGCGGGTTCGCGTGTTCTTATTTCCCAGTTCCGTCTTCCTTGACCAGGGTAAGCAATGTTCACTTTGTAATTGTTTTTTTCTTTTTTTAACTTGCTAGAAATATTTTTTGAAGCGTGTTCTACAAATGATTTACCAAAACACGCACTGTGATAAAGTTGTCAGGATAACAAAAGTGAAATGTAGGATTTTGGTGTAGTTGCATGCTGACCACGTGGCTCGTTGCACGCGGGAAGGTCTAAATAGACAATGAAAATTTCACTGGTTTAGTTTTATCATATTGTTTGGTGCACATAATGTTAAACAAGTTAGTCCATTGTTTCAATGTTACATACAGGCCATTTAAGTGACTAGGTTATTTCTAGTTGCTTAATTGTCTGATGTTACTTTGTAATTGTTTTGCAGTATGTGGGCTGTTGGACCATGGAGTTGTGCTGTAGTGCTTACTCAGATGTTGGTGAGTTTAGATTTACACTAGACTATGCTTTAAAACTTCTGGTAGCAATGATGACTGATCTTTTTTTCCCCAGCAGACCGACACTGTTGACCCTTTATAACGAAATAAGCCAAATGATCTAAGCAACCATGTTGTTGCCACAAAATCTGGTAATCACGGTTTTTACGGTCGTTGACGTTTACTGCTCCTGTCCCTACAGATCATACTGGAGCAGAATGGATAACCTTAAATTCATCAGACTTTGTTTCATAAGTCATCCACACTCTAAAACGGGTAAGGTTGAACATGTTTTTGGCACATTTGGTTGATATTTACCTGGTGCATATGATGACTGATCTTTTTTCCCCAGCAGATCGATAGTGTTGACATTTGCTCTAAACTTTAAGCCAATTTATCTGAAGCACCATCAGAGCTGCTTGGCATACAAAATAGTGGTGCTTTTCTTGTTCTCAAGTCCTCTTTTTGTCTTCCCCCAAAAGGAGTTCTGGAGGACCAGAAGACTTCACATGATGAATGGCCAGATGTGAAGGTATTTTTCAGAGTGTATATTGTATGTTCTTATTTTGCTCACTAACTTGGATTTCATCTAAAATGTGGTTCTTTCATATTTTCTAGGTATTTGAGAGATTTGTTCCTCCGAAGGCTCTACACTGTCAAACCCACGTGGAGAAGTGGGTGAAGTACATAATGGTCCCTCTAAGCAGTCCAGCGTTTACCAGTTATGGGGAGAAAAACCTTTTATGCATTAAAGTTGACCTACGACTGTTCCAACATGCCGGGGGGGGGTTTTTTCTCACTAATCTTAAGAATTATTGCTTGTATTTTATGTAAGTGCCTAAATAGTCTTGCAGCTGGCACTTACCTCTATTACTTTTACAATAAAACTATTAAACCATGAATTGATTTTGCGTTCATTAACTTGTTCTGTGCATCTCTCATTCATCTGTGACCTTGAGGTGAAATGTAAATTTAGTGGAACCATTAGCTGAATGAAATTAATAGTTGGTTAGTGATGTCTTATGGTCATTCTAATTGAGCAAAGTGAAATTAAAATGCAAATAAACATTAAAATGTACGATTACTGTAGGTTAAGTGATTAAAACACTGGGATTTAAAGTCGGTGGCTCTGACCGATCATATGTGGTTACTTTTGTCACCTCAAGGTAAATGGTACATTTAATATTTCTAACCAGAGTAGAAAGTGTCTTGGTGCACTTAACACCCACCAGAATTATATATTCTGCTGCACACAGTTTTAAAGTACTCATTCACATTAACCAAGCAGTAGATATTTAAATGTTTATTCTTTCATTTTATGAATGGTCACAAAAAGCTTGCTTCTCAAAGGTTTTACATTAGTGGATAGTATGTCTAAAATTGGAATAACTGACCGTATTTGTTTAGGGTACAGAGAAAAGACCATTCACACCAAGTGCACAGCTCTGCTTTAAACTCTTAACAAAAATGTAGGTCCCACGTGTGTTTTCTGACCCCATTTGATTCACAAAGTAAAGCCAATATCATACACACTTCTGTACAAAATATACTTGTAAGACGCTGGATTAGACTATATATATATGACATCTCACACTAAAAACCCTGTTGCAGGAAATCCACCCAATGCTGCAATAATTACATCCTTAGTGTCTGTAGTGATCCTCACTGTAACAGCCATCAATTATGAACCAAATAACCTGCAAACAAACAAAACAGCACTTTAAAATATGCAACACCTCTTCACAAAAACAGTTTGTTTGCAATGGTGCATAAAGGTGATTATTTTAAGAGCAGGAAAAGTAGAAAACGAAATCTTTCTATTAAAAGACGATACTCACAAGATCATGCAAAACATGATGAAAATGTTCCAAAGAGCAATGAATATACGAAAGTACCGCAGACTCAGCAAAAACTCTCTGATGTTGTCACCTAAAGACAAACAATGCATAATAAGAGTCACAAATATGATCCAGGGCTGTTTAGATTGACTTTTATCTAATATTTGATATATTTCATATCTATTCTAGGTCTATCCCATGGTAGAGTTAGGGCCTCTGTAATGACCTGTAGCTGTCTGCTCACTGTCTTATTAATAGTATGTCATACTGTCCCAATAAATTTAAATGAACTATTATTTCATAATGCAACGTTAATGAATTGTTGTTGTTACCAGTTCTGGACGATCCAGATTCATCGCCAAACCCTTGAGACTGCGTTTCTCTCTTCTTTCTGCACACAGACAGTGAACGGCACGGATAAGCAAGCAATCATCCAAGTGAAAACTGACAGGTAACTTTTGTGTTTTCACTCACAGTTTAAAGTTGAGCACAGCGCCGGCGTTCACGAGCAGAGTGCTGCAAACATAAGGAAATGAGCGACGTGGAGAAGAAAACACACTGCTGTTACACTCTGACAATAGTACACTACACATATGGACATCATTCTGTTTAAGAATAACGCGAAATCTATCCTGCTTAGAAAAAAATGTGTGGAATTTACCCAAAAATGATAAGATCTCCAATCATTTTGGCTGATTATATCCACTTCAGTTCGTCCTCTTCTTCTTCTATCTTTGTATGAGTTCAATATGAGTCGTTTGGTCTTCATCGCCACCTGACGCCAGATACACGACACGACAATCCTGCTGCTGTGCACTCCAGGGATCCTCAAGCCCTGGTCTGGCGATGGATAGTGGGTAGTTACAAGGACCCCTTGTTACATATTGCATAAAAATTAGTGTATTCGTCTATAGTAACCAGTCTGTATAACACAGTATAGTATCATATAATATTAAAGGCAAAAAGTCAATACATTAAAAAAATCGAATAGCCTATTTGTACGGTGGCCGAGAAGTGCTAAACAAATCACAATTCTGAAAACAAAATAACAAATTACAAACGCAAATGCAAGTCTAAAAAACAAAATAACAATTCAGAAAGCACAACAACAATTCCGAAAACAAATTAACAAGTCAGAAAACACAACGACAAATCAGACAAACCGGAAGAGGTAGGTATAGTTTGAGACAGCGCCATTGGTTTGGGCTGTAAAACATCAGTTCCAGTGACGCAGATGGATAAGCGCGTGTCATTGGCTTTTTGACGCGATCGACCCGGGTTCGATCCCGCCTTTTGCCGAACTTTTTTTTTTCTCCCTTGCAATCCATTGCTAATACGAGATTTGAAAAGGGAGGAAAAACAAGTTCGACAAAAGGCGGTATCGAACCCCTGTCGATCGCGTCAAAAAGCCAATGACGCGCTTATCCATCTGCGCCACTGGAGCTGATGATTCACAGCCACTTTTAACTATATGTAAATAGACACCCCGTATTTTTTATTCCATAGTAAGGGCAATTCATACAATACATTTAAACTGAGCTACTTTAATACCATCTCCGAACTTTCTACCACGACTCTGCTGTTCTTCGGCTGGTTCTTCCTGTATACGTTGATTGACAGATGTCTCGTCCAGTCAGCGGTGAGTAATCCCAAACCAATGGCGCTGTCTCAAACTATACCTACCTCTTCCGGTTTGTCTGATTTGTCGTTGTGTTTTCTGACTTGTTAATTTGTTTTCGGATTTGTCGTTGTGTTTTTTGACTTGTTATTTTGTTTTCGAATTTGTCATTGTGTTTTCTGACTTGTTATAATGTTTTCTGAATTGTTGTTGTGTTTTCTGAATTGATATTTTGTTTTTTAGACTTGCATTTGCATTTGTAATTTGTTATTTTGTTTTCAGAATTGTGATTTGTTTTGCACTTCTCGGTCACCGTATATTTTATTAAAATAATACAATTATACTACTAATAATATTTACTATTATTGATGTAATTTACAGTATTTGTTCATTTTACTAATACATTTTTTTATGTTTGAGGGACAAAAATGCAGTACTTTAAATATGACAATTCTCAGAATAGTTTTAGCATATGACTATAGCCAGATAGCACACGTACGTCTGCAAGATGTCTGTTGAACATCACTTAAAGCATCTGCTGTGTACAAACATCTGATAGACGTCTTTAAGATGTTTTGCATACGTTCTAAATCATTAACATCTTAAAACATTTTCTAAACATCTATTTGACATCTGACAGGAAACGTCCTATAGATGTATTGCAGATGAGCAAACACTCTAAAAATATGTCTTGCAGATGTAAATGCAGACGTCAAACAGACATCTCCGTGATGTACGTTTGCTGTTGCGTCCTATGCACTCTGCTACTATGTGCAAGATGAACTCTACCATGTAGTGTATGCATTTTATAAGGTTATTTTGTCATTCATAATCTGAGTCTTATTCCCCCTCCCCCCTCACTACGTAATTAAGGCTGCAACAGTTGAGTACATGAAGTGTCCAACACTCCACACTTCGTATTTTCAGTTAATTAAGTGCATTATGGGTATTTAAAGTGCACTTTTTCTTTTTGGAATCTTTAGTGTGAACACACACCATTTATACTATAAAACAGCATGGAGTAGTGCATAAGTACGCGATTTGGGACGCACCTCATGTTAATACTTTTGGTCGTGGCAGGGCTAGATCTGCTACGCACACTGCTGCTGAGCAAGTATATGTTTGCTACTGCCAGTGAATACACAGACACACTTCTGTGAGCTTGTAAGATATGCAGCTGCTTTATGAATGGCCATACATAAATCCCTTAACAGATCTAGACAGGTGGAGCTGGGGGAGGTGGAAGGTTTAAAGGGGTCATATGATGCTGCTAAAAAGAACATTATTTTGTGTATTTGGTGTACTCTGATAGCATGCAGCAGGACCAGCTTACAGCGAACACTGAACCAGACTATTTAAATGTTGAGAAAGCAAGCTCATTGGCTGCAGAATCAGCAAAGGCCAATCAACTTGCGCTGTGTAGTAAATGTTGTGATTGCTAGCAGATTGCATGTAAAGGTCCTATCAGTCAGCGTCATCTAGAGTTTCATGACTCAGATATTGTTCCACAAAAATTAGTTTCAAACAATAATAGGTGGGTCACAGACCCTTACTGGAGATCCCTGCTTTAAGTTAATATTTAACTTCGGGTTGTCATGTGACTATATGATAACATGGTACAATCATTGAATCAGATGGTAGTACAATGGGAATTTGACCACAGAACAAAAAACAAACAAACATTGTATTGCCATGGTATATTGAACATATCAACATTGGTAAATATTCACTATGTTACATAACCAGAAATCCACACAGTAATGATTTATGCAACATGTTTTTCACTCAATAGAATATCAATTATGTAGTATCATGGTACTATGGCATATTTAAAGAGTACAGTATCTACTACATGAACAATCCATATCCAAAAACATGACAGCAGCCTATAGGAATGTTTTGTTAGTGATATCTCTATATGCTTAAATGTTTAATCAATTCATCTTTTACAAATGTATGAATAGCAAAATCATATTTAAGACTGGTTTATAAAAGGAGTATAAAAGGAGGTCACGACTATACAGATTTTATGCAATGATAATAAAACAATTACATCTGGTTTTCACGATCGAACAAGCTTGATTGATGATAATGAGCACGCGTCGCGGTCATCCAGTAAGCGGCAGTAGCTCCTCCGCATGAGACGCGTCCGTGTGTTGATTTCACCTCTGTAGTGCGCCTGAGCTTGTGCTGTGTATTAATAGGCATCTGCATGTGAGCGGAGCCTTTTACTCCTGCAAGTAAAAGGTCTCTTGAAGATCTGTTCATGCGGTAGGGTCAGAACATCATGGAGGTGCTGGATGTCCTAAATCTGGGCGAAATTGCCCAGTATTTCTCGAAAATGGCGATGTTTCCAGTTTTTGATTTCGCTTATTATATCGTGTCAATACTCTACCTCAAATATGAACCAGGTAAGTGGAATTGTTATTTAGGCATAACAACAGAATATTGCGCTTGAGCTTTATTTGGGTCAAATTTAAAGGACATTATTGATCATTCTTTGCATTTGCGCGTGAATCAGTATGGCTTATAATTGAATAAACAGCGTTAAATATGAAACCATGAATTCTCAAGCCATAAGATAATTAGTATTGTTTTCAACAAGTGTTATGTAATTTGTCTCAGGGTTTACTGTCATATGGCATTGTGTTTGCAATGTGCAGAACAGTCCTATAGCCTAGGTGCGTATTTTAATATTTTATCAATGTCTCTACGTCTCATTCAGCATTTTCTTTATTCTTGGGGTGGGAAGAGTTGTCCCACTCTTGAAGAGCCTCCTCGAAACACGATAGAGTCCGTGCACATTCCACTGCGAGTCTCACTGGAATAAATAGAAGCGCCCTAAATAGTCAGCAGCAGTGGAAAGGACAAAACGAAGCCCAGTAAATTTGTTAAAGGGGTCATATGATGCTGCTAAAAAGAACATTATTTGGTGTATTTGGTGTAATGAAATGTGTTTATGCGGTTTAAAGTAAAAAAAAAAAAAACATTATTTTTCACATACTGTACATTATTGTTTCTCCTCTATGCCCCGCCTTTTTGAAACGCGTCGATTTTTACAAAGCTCATCGGTCTGAAAAGCGAGGTGTGCTCTGATTGGACAGCTATCCAGTGCATTGTGATTGGCCGAATACCTCAAGCGTGAGACGGAAAAATTGAAATCGCATCATATGACCCCTTTAAGCAAATTTAAGTAGCTTAGGACTTGCTTCCATTTAACGAATCATATTTGAAGTCGTATTTCACAATTAAACCAAAATAGTTTATTTATTTATTTATTTTTATTTAATTTTTTTTGCATTGTTACACTTTAATGACAATGAAGCACATTTTCTTTCCGAAATTTTCAATACTGCCATAAATCTGGACGTTTTACTTTGGACTCTGCAATTCCTATTATTCTCAATGATGATTTTCTGATGCTTAAAAAAAATTAAACAAACACTACCATTATGTATGGAAGCCTACTTTTCAATTTAAATTATTTATTTTTTGGTAGGCCTAAATAATCTTTCATTATTGTAATGATAATTATATTTTCTATTATGTTATAAAGAAGGAGCTTTTTTGACTTTACACTTATGAGAATTAATTATTTGCATTACAGTTAGGACAATGAGATATTTTGGCATTATGGCATTGAGAATGAGATCTTTTGGCATTGCGATAATGAGAAGGATATTTTTTTGGCAATGTAATGTGAATTGGAGGGAAGATGTGCTTAACTGTTAAGGAAATATTGTAACAATACAAACAAATAAATAAATAAATATTGGCAACATTTAATATAAGCCACATGTCATTTTTTTATCCATTTCTTTAATTTTGGAGTGAAGCATCAATTAGACCATTAGTGGTCATCCAGTATTAAAGTTTTAGATGGGATTTATTTTTACATGCTTTCATTTAATGAGATGTCTGATGAGAACAGAGTAAGAGTTAATGCTGTCAATTAAAATTGCATCGGGATTTCAGATATACCAGGGCTCAGTTATAAAATAATATAACTATTCATACCATTATACCATTACACCATCATGCAATTCACAAACTTGTGATAAAGTATATTGATGGTGAAGAATGTTATATAAATATCCACCACTTTGTGCAAACATTAGCCAGTTGCTAGCTGAAGCTCATCCTGACAGCTGTTTGTGCGGGTTGGAGGTCGTGGTGTGAAACAGGCCTGCAGTTTGAGACGAACGAAAAGCTTTAGGCTTCT